GGAGCGTGGTCGGTCAGAGGGGAGCGTGGTCAGCGGGGAGCGCGGTGAGCGGGGAGCACGGTCAGAGGGGAGCGCGGTCGGTCAGAGGGGAGCGCGGTCAGTGGGGAGCGCGGTCGGTCAGAGGGGAGCGCGGTCGGTCAGAGGGGAGCGCGGTCGGTCAGAGGGGAGCGCGGTCAGTGGGGAGCACGGTCAGAGGGGAGCGCGGTCGGTCAGAGGGGAGCGCGGTCAGTGGGGAGCGCGGTCGGTCAGAGGGGAGCGCGGTCGGTCAGAGGGGAGCGCGGTCGGTCAGAGGGGAGCGCGGTCAGTGGGGAGCACGGTCAGAGGGGAGCGCGGTCGGTCAGAGGGGAGCGCGGTCAGTGGGGAGCGCGGTCAGTGGGGAGCACGGTCAGAGGGGAGCGCGGTCGGTCAGAGGGGAGCGCGGTCAGCGGGGAGCGCGGTCAGAGGGGAGCGCGGTCGGTCAGAGGGGAGCGCGGTCAGAGGGGAGCGCGGTCAGCGGGGAGCGGGTCAGAGGGGAGCGCGGTCAGCGGGGAGCACGGTCAGAGGGGAGCACGGTCGGTCAGAGGGGAGCGCGGTCAACGGGGAGCACGGTCAGAGGGGAGCGCGGTCGGTCAGAGGGGAGCGCGGTCAGCGGGGAGCACGGTCAGAGGGGAGCGCGGTCAGAGGGGAGCGCGGTCGGTCAGAGGGGAGCGCGGTGAGCGGGGAGCACTGTCAGAGGGGAGCGTGGTCGGTCAGAGGGGAGCGCAGTCAGAGGGGAGCGCGGTCAGCGGGGAGCACGGGCAGAGGGGAGCGCGGTCGGTCAGAGGGGAGCGCGGTCAGCGGGGAGCACGGTCAGAGGGGAGCGCGGTCAGAGGGGAGCGCGGTCAGCGGGGAGCACGGTCAGAGGGGAGCGCGGTCGGTCAGAGGGGAGCGCGGTCAGCGGGGAGCACGGTCAGAGGGGAGCGCGGTCAGCGGGGAGCACGGTCAGAGGGGAGCGCGGTCAGAGGGGAGCGCGGTCAGCGGGGAGCACGGTCAGAGGGGAGCGCGGTCGGTCAGAGGGGAGCGCGGTCAGCGGGGAGCACGGTCAGAGGGGAGCGCGGTCGGTCAGAGGGGAGCGCGGTGAGCGGGGAGCACTGTCAGAGGGGAGCGTGGTCGGTCAGAGGGGAGCGCGGTCAGAGGGGAGCGCGGTCAGCGGGGAGCGGGTCAGAGGGGAGCGCGGTCAGCGGGGAGCACGGTCAGAGGGGAGCGCGGTCAGAGGGGAGCACGGTCAGCGGGGAGCACGGTCAGAGGGGAGCGCGGTCGGTCAGAGGGGAGCGCGGTCAGCGGGGAGCACGGTCAGAGGGGAGCGCGGTCAGAGGGGAGCGGGTCAGCGGGGAGCGTGGTCCACTGAGACAGGCGCTCCTTTCCCTTCATTTCCATCCACCCGAAGAGGCGCACGGGCGCGTGCCTGTCTGCGGTAGTGGGGGGCCAGCTGGAAGGAAGGGGATTGTCAGGCGTGACAATGTGGCCCATAGGTCACCGCACTGCACGCACTGACCAGACAGGGCGAAAAGGGCCTCAGGCCTAACAGTGGGCTGCGGTCCAGGGCTGGGGTGGACGCTGAGATGTAAATGCTTCTTCAACCTTTCGAGACGAGGCGTTGCCTTTCTAAAGTCTACAGCAGGGGTCCTCAAACGGTTTAAACAGGGGGCCAGTTCACTGTCCCTCCGACCGTGGGAGGGCCGGACTATAGTTTAAAAAAAACTATGAACAAATTCCTATGCACACTGCACATGTCTTACTTTGAAGTAAAAGAACAAAACGGGAACAAATACAATATCTGTATTTGCATGTGGCCCGCGGGCCGTAGTTTGAGGACCCCTGGTCTACAGTGTCAATCAAGGCCTCTAGAGAACAGACAGACCGCAGCAAACCCTTCCTTCCTCCAGCCGCACGGTCGCCTGCATGCGTCCTCGCACGTCAGGCCCACGTGTCCGCTCTGCACAGGACCCGCCGGCCCCCTCCCGGGCCCACGCCTTCACGCCAGGCGGGGAGACGGCCGTCCTGCCCGCCTTCCTGGCTTCTCCAGCGTCTGGGCTATGTGGCTTCAGCACAGGTTCCAATACATTGCCCAACAGCGATGCTTCCAAAGACCAAGCACAAAATCAACGGGAACGCGAGTGAAAACAATGTGGCTACTGCCTCAAACACGTCACCATCACCGTCAAGGGACTTTCCCCAGGTCAGGCGTAAGCTGACGTAGCTCAATTTGGTTTAACAAATATTAAGAGAAAACCAGTTATTTTGTGAAAATAGAAGGTGCAGAATGATAAAAGGGCAGCGAACCAGAGGAGCAGGCGTGAGGTCCAGTTCCCTCCAACTGTCGGCCCCTTTGTGGTGAGGCTAAGCCACCCTCAGCTCCCCAGCGGGACACAGGCCCTGCTCGCTGCAGCCCGACGGTGAGGGGCTGCCGCCCGCTCCCATGTGCGGGGCCTCAGGGAGCCGGCGCCCTTCCTGGGGGAGGACCACGGAGAGCCCGCCGGCCGCAGCGCTGACATCTCCCGAGTAGAGGGGGGCCTGGGGTGTGCACGCTGGGTCGTGAGGACACAGCACTTCCATGGGCAGCGTCAGACTGGTGCACCCTCTCGCTGAGCTAAGACCTGCCCTGGCTTCCCACCGCTGAGCATGAGCTGGTTCCACAGCCCCCACCCAGCCTCCCAGCCCCGCTTCCCCAGGGAAGGTCGTGCGGCCGCTTGCTCCCCGAAGGAGGGAAGCCCAGCCCTGGGCTGTAACCTCTCCTGGCTTCCTCCTGACTGACCCTCCTGTCACCTGGAGGTCACGGAGACGTGACTCCTCAGACACATCCCTCTGCCCTGCACGCAGGCTCCCCGAGCCCTTCCCCGGGCTGTGTCCGGGGCCCTGTCCCCACCCTCAAGGAGTCCGAGCGAAGAATCCTGCTGGGTCGTGCCCTCTCGGACCTGTGACCTCACCCACCCGTGGGGTCTCAGTCCTCGGCCTGCCTCTAACAAAATCGTTCTGCCCGTGTAGTCAGACCCACCCCCACCCCATATATCCCCGTGGTCAATCCACCACTCACACCATGCTGCTCCCTGCTCCCGGTCCCCCGGGCCCCCAGTCCCCAGGGCTCCCGGTTCTAGGTGGGCTCCCAGTTCTAGGAGGGGCCATGTCCAAAGGAGGTTCCCAGTCCCAGGGGTTCCCAGTCCCAGGGGCTGCCAGTCCCAGGGGTTCCCAGTCCCAGGGGCTCCCAGTCCCAGGGGTTCCCAGTCCCAGGGGTTCCCAGTCCCAGGGGCTGCCAGTCCCAGGGGTTCCCAGTCCCAGGGGTTCCCAGTCCCAGGGGTTCCCAGTCCCAGGAGCTGCCAGTCCCAGGGGTTCCCAGTCCCAGGGGTTCCCAGTCCCAGGGGTTCCCAGTCCCAGGGGCTGCCAGTCCTGGGGGCTCTGTTGCACGGAGCCTGAGCTAGCTCCCCCGCGCCCCCTGCGCCCAGGACACTGAATGACACCTCAGCTTTAGCTCAGGCAGGACTGCCTCTCTGACAGCAGCCACGCCTTCCCGGCACCAAACTGCCCACCTGGTCCTCATGGAGCGATCCCTGCCATGGCGCGGGCGGGGGGAGAGGGGGGAAAGCAGGGACGCTGTCTCCCTTGACCGCTGCTTCATCACCACAGTGACACGTTCATTTTGTTGAGTTCGAGACAAAAATTACATTTCCCTGGTTCACTAAAGGGCTATGAAAATGCTCACAAGAGATCTGGAGGCTAACAGACACGTCAGATGCGCTACAAAGGCAGAAATGAATACGAGTATTAAGGTTGTTCCCTCTGGTTTCTTCATGCATGATGGCTTCCGCACTTGCCACTAAGTGTGTGCATTACTGTGAACATCAGACAAACATCAACGCAGCCCTGGTGAGACAGTGCTCAGCGACGCGCCCCCTCCCCGCCAGGCCCCCTTTAAATGTGCTTCTCTGGGAGAAACTGTCTCCTGGCCGCAGGTTCTAGATTATGGACCCCGTGCCAAGAGAAAGGCACACAAAAATAAAATGTACCAAGTTCCCAGGGGAACTCTGTCCAAGCAGCATCACCTCCCCGGACATGCTAAAGCCTGGCAGAAACCTGAGCACGTGCTACAGTGGAGGAAGGCGCGGAAGGGGAAGATGGGGGCCAGAGGCCCCTGCCTCTTGGCCATCGCATCGTCTGTTCCAGGGAGAAGAGCCAGGCTGTTCCCTGTGTGACTCTCAGGGGCGCAGCACCTGCACATGGGCCCAGCCAGGGCCCCGCTCGCTGCCGATGCTTCAGGGTGACCTCGCAGAGCCTGCTCGTTCGCGTCAGAACCTAAGAAACACCCACGAAGTGGGGTCATGGACCTCCCGGCAGAACAGACACCGCGAGGGCCTCTCCGTCACAGGAGAGGAACTCCAGGCCCCTCCGTGGTGACGGCGAGTCCGGCGGCCCAGCCCCTGGCTGCCACGGCAGAAGGCTCTGCGGACAGCGGCCCCGCAGAGCTGGGCCGGAACCTTCCCCGAGGAGACCCCACGCCGCGGAGGCTGGCAGCGGAGCTGTTCGTCCTTTTCTTCCTGTTCCTTAAGTTCACCCGTGTTTTATTCCGAACGTCACTGAGCTGTTGTCAGACTCAGGAGAGGGGCTACTCTACACTGTTTCACTCGTCTCTGGAACAGGGTCAGGGGCGGTAAGACTTCCCACAGGGCTGGGGGGGCAAGGAGGTGCTGAGCGCCCGGCGCAGACCGCCTCCGCCTGCACCCGCTGCCGCGCAGAGCCCGTGGAGACACACAAAGGCCTTTTCAACTAATACCTTACGTTAGTTTTTAAATGTTAACATATATAGAACTGCTTTTTCTGGAAAAACTTAAAAAGCTTTAAAGAATCAAATGTAACCAAGACTAAAAGTTAGGAGCCTATTTGAAATAGTTGCAAATACTAGATTATTAAAAAAAACCACTTTATTGTGGTAAGCATCCCCACCATAACACTTTAAACTAGAACTTAAAGGCACTGAGCTCATTCCTTACCGATGTTGGGGTGCTTGAGGAGACGGCAGATTCTGGCTTCCCTTTCCAGTTTCTGATGATCTGTAAGAAAACCACAAAAGTAAATCACAAATTTAGCAAAAAAGATTAAAGGGCAGTGTGCCCAAACAACAGAAAGCCTGCACATTTACTTATCCTTTGATGTCTTTTAAAACACAGATCATTTGGCCTGGCCAGTGTGGCTCAGTGGTTGAGCATCCGCCTAAGAACCAGGAGGTCAGGGTTCGATTCCCGGTCAGGGCACATGCCTGGGTTGTGGGCTTGATCCCTAGTAGGGGGCGTGCAGGAGGCAGCCCATCAATGATTCATTCTCTCTCATTGATGTTTCTAGCTCTATCCCTCTCCCTCCCTCTCTCTCTCTAAAATCAATAAAAAGAAATATTTTTTTAAAAACTGATCACTTGGATGTGGAGCTGCGTGACACGCGGTTTTTAACAGTCTGACTGCCTTCCCTTTCCACTGGCTGCAAGCTGGGCAACGGGATGGCAGTCAGCAGTGCCCTCCTCTCTAAGTGTGTGCTGCTGCAACAACTTAAATCAGCAGCGGCACCCCGGAGCCGAGGGCACATCTGGAACACAGATGCCCGGAGCAGGCGGGGAGGGCCCCTGCCACCCGTCCCGTCGCGGTGCCCGCCTCTGCACACAGCTGTCCTCCCTGCCTCCCGGGGCTGGGCTCTCCCCCAGGCCCTGCTGCCCGCGGTGCCCATCTCTGCACACAGCTGTCCTCCCCGCCTCCCGGGGCCGGGCTCTCCCTCAGCCCCCGCTGCCCGCGGTGCCCGTCTCTGCACACAGCTGTCCTCCCGCCTCCCGGGGCCGGGCTCTCCCCCAGCCCCCGCTGCCCGCGGTGCCCGTCTCTGCACACAGCTGTCCTCCCGCCTCCCGGGGCCGGGCTCTCCCCCAGCCCCCGCTGCCCGCGGTGCCCGTCTCTGCACACAGCTGTCCTCCCGCCTCCCGGGGCCGGGCTCTCCCCCAGCCCCCGCTGCCCGCGGTGCCCGTCTCTGCACACAGCTGTCCTCCCGCCTCCCGGGGCTGGGCTCTCCCCCAGCCCCCGCTGCCTGCTCTTCGCGAAGGGGCTGGGACACTGCAAACCTGCGCTTGACGAACCACCTGACGCCCGTGTTTGGTGTCTCAAAGCCAACGGCAGAGAGAAGCAGGAGCACAGCGGACACCCACGCACCACGGCACCCGCAGAGGCCAGCACGCGAGCTTTACAGATGTGGGCACCTGATGCCCCTCACGGCCCAGACAGACCGTGACCACCCCTTGCTTATGAGGTGCCCCCAGAACAGAGAGGCTGTCTCCCGGGCTCACAGAACCAGCAGGGGGCGCCCGCCAGGCAGCTCTGCTTATGGCATAACCTGCCCTAGAGAACGTGGGGCACCATCCACCCCAGAGAGCCTGGCACGGGCCTCAGCACCTAGACCCCACAGGGCCTTTAGGTGCTTAGATCTGTTAACATCCACTCTCTTACAACACAACCGAGCAAACTGTAAATACTATTTAATTCATTTAAAAACAATAATAACCCATGGCATATTAATATAAGTGCCTGCATTTAAACTTTAAACTTTTACTTGGAAATAATTAAATCACAAATCTGGAGAATAATAGTATAGAACCACCTGTGTGCAATTTATCCAGATGCAGCTCTTAACACTTCACCCGTTTTTAACCATTGACCTCTTTCCGCCACGTACATCTGTGTGCACACACACATTTACCTAACTGACACCCACGTGCACCTATACAAACACATAAATGCATGTTTACGCCTAAAGTAACTTCCTCTGATCCGCCTGCAGTAAGTAACTCAGGGCACGACTTTAAACGTCTGTACTGCTGTGAGCTGCCCACAGAGAAAGGTTTACGGCACCAGCGTGGCGCGGGGCGGTCGGCAGTGCGCCCCCCACCTCCAAATCACCAAAGGCAAAGGCTGACACGCTCGGCCACACCACGCTCTCACACTACCCGCCTTCTTCTCCCATCTCTTTCTAGAATATTCTTACTTAGAAATAGACAACTAAACCCAAAACTCAGGCTCTGAAAGTGCGCCCAACAGCACCATAGCACCGTGAAGGGTCACCTGCGAACCACGCGAAAGTGTCCTCCCAGGAACTACGGTTCTGCTGTGGACGGAGATGTGCAGACACATGCAACACCATGAGGAACAGGACAGAGCCGTCACACAGATGCACATACAGTGACCATCCGACTCGTGGACACTGTGTTAAGATGAAGAACAGGGGCAAAGACCTTGATGGTAAACGTGTGCAGTCTCAGCCGTGGGGCGGGTGTTGCCCGGCTGGGCACGTTACAGTGCCAGCTCGCCAACGCATCCAACACATCGCCTGTGCGCCAGCTCCCTGCCGTCAGAGACGAGCTTCACACTCAACGCCTGGGAGTGTGTGCGGTGAGGCCTGGGCGCGGTTAAGGGCGTTCTGGGGGGTCTCGGGCTGCAGGAAGGCATCCCCAGGACTCAGGGCGGTGTCTCCCGGCCCAGAGCCGCGGGCGTCCTGGGTCCTCGGTCCTCAGTGACGCTGAGCGGAGGTCTTCGTCCCCCGGGCGCTGGGGGCTGCGGGTCCCCAGATACTCCCTCCTGCTCACCGGGGAGTCTGCCTTCCACCCCGCGCAGCACCCATGACACCGCTGCAGCCAGTCAGGAGCTGGAAGTCGCCAGGCGGCCCACATGGTGCAGGACGGCACCAGGACAGGAACCCCAGGAGCCAGAGCCGTAGGGCCACCTCCAAGGCTCCCAGGGCTGCGTCTCCAGGAGCCTTCCCACGACAGGAGCGCTGACCTGCGCCTCCCCCACGGCCCCCCAGGTCCGGCCCTCCCGGGGCCCGACAGCCCCCCAGAGAACAGCCTCGGGCAGTGGTGCAGTGCTCCCGCCCCACAGGGGCTCCAGCTCTGCTTGGGGAGGAGCTGTGGCTGCCTGCCACCCCGGGCATTTCTGAGCTGCCCTGAGGAGGAGCTGCATGAGTGTCTCCCTTAGAACGGCTCCCTGTGCCGTCCGTCCAGCAGCCTCCCGCCTCCAGCCCGCTCTCCCTCCAGCCTGGGAGGAGCAGGAGACCACACTGAAGCCACCTGGGAAAGTCCTGGCCTCCCCACGCCCCATGCCCAGCTCACTTACTATGGGACCGCTCACTGGCTCTTGCTCTGGCACAAGCCCATCTCAGGCCGTGGCGGCCCAGGAGGAGGCCTGCAGGGAACAGTGTCTGGGGAACAGCGTCCCCAGCACGCAGAACTCGGACCTTAACATGGTTCCTGGGAACTCTGAGAAATATGCTTACTCCCAGCTTTAAGATACCTCCCTTTTTTTAACTTAAAAAGATTTTATTTCAACGGAGGAGAAAAACAGGAACTCAGCCCTAATGAGCTAAATCCCTCACTTCAGTTCCCAATCCAAGTTCAGTCTGTAGCCGGTGGGGCTTATGTCCCTCAGAGCAGGGCCGTCGCGAAGCTCCAGGCAGGACGACCACCCCTGCTGGGTGGGGGCGCGCTTGCAGGGCAGGGAAGCCCAGCAGACGCCCCTCGATGCCTGGGCCCAGGGGCCTCGGGGAGCGGTGCAGTGCCTCTCGGAGTGGCTCAGGGAACCTTCGCCGCAGCCACCCCCACGGCCTTGACCGGGAGGCCTGGAGGCCAGAGGGGTCCCCACCTGCTCCCTAACTGCCCCACAGAGCAGCCTTGTCAGCACAGCCAGTGCCAGGAGGTTTGGGCAGAGGGCCTGCCTTCTGCGTGACTGGTCAGTCAGTGCCCCGGACACACACGGGCACAAGAACAGCCTCAGGAAGACCCGATGGCCCCCAGGGGCAGATCCTACCCTGGGAGCCACGCAGCCGCTGGGAGGAGGCCACGTCCCTGGCCCCCGGCCCAGACCCCGCCCTAGGGCCCACCCCGCGCTAGGCTCAGATCAGCCCTCAGAGCCCCGGTTTCGAGGGCGGCTCACTCGCTCCTCCGGCTGCAGGACAACCAGCCCAACTCGATCCTCAACGTGTTCATATTCGCTCAGTTTCTGAGAAACCCAAGTCCCAGTGAGAGACTTCCCTGCCCAGGACCCGCCCGGGAGCCTCAGCAGAGGAGACAGGCGCACCTGAGGCCGCCGTGCCCGGCGCCTTCCCCCACACGCGTCTACGCTTCTCCAGGAGGGAGGGACACGCGCGCACTGACACCTGGGCGCCAAGTGATGAGTGGATAAGGGCTGCCTTCCCTGCACGCGCGGCTGTGAACAGCATGAGGGACCCAAACCATGAACACCCCCCACACACGTGGGCTGTGGGGACCCGCCCTCCACAGTGTCTTGTTGGAGAGTGACTCCCAGCAAGGGAGGGTCCTGGGATGGGGGGGGAGGACAGGCGGTCCTGGTGGGGGGACAGGCAGTCCTCGGGGGGGGGACAGGTGGACTTGGGGGGAAGGCGGTCCTCAGGGGGGGACAGACGGTCCTCGGGGGGCACAGGCGGTACTGGGGGCACAGGCGGTCCTCAGGGGGGGACAGATGGTCCTCAGGGGGGGACAGACGGTCCTCGGGGGGAAACAGGCGGTCCTGGGGGGACAGACGGTCCTCAGGGGGGACAGACGGTCCTCAGGGGTGACAGGTGGTCCTCGGGGGGGGACAGGCGGTGCTGGGGGGACAGGCGGTCCTCAGGGGGGGACAGACGGTCCTCAGGGGGGGACAGACGGTCCTCGGGGGGCACAGGCGGTCCTGGGGGCACAGGCGGTCCTCAGGGGGGGACAGACGGTCCTCAGGGGGGGACAGACGGTCCTCGGGGGGGGACAGGCGGTCCTGGGGGGACAGACGGTCCTCAGGGGGGGACAGACGGTCCTCAGGGGTGACAGGTGGTCCTCAGGGGGGGGACAGATGGTCCTCGGGGGGGGGACAGGCGGTGCTGGGGGGACAGGCGGTCCTCAGGGGGGGACAGACGGTCCTCGGGGGGCACAGGCGGTCCTGGGGGGACAGGCGGTCCACAGGGGGGACAGGTGGTCCTAGTGGGGGGACAGACGGTCCGGCTCGGCAGGTCACATTTAAAACCTGGCTGTCCGTTAGGC